GGCCAAAGGTTGCAGCCTCACCCATTCGACCAGAAGGATAAGCCTCCAGCCCAATATGAATCTCGCCGCCGAGAAAGGTCCCCGTGGTGATGACCACATGGGAGGCAGGAATGACTTGACCACTTTCCAGACGAATCCCGGTTATGCGTCCCTGCGATATCTTGTCGCCCGCCTCTATACCCTCTCTTGAAACAATGATATCGGCGACTTTGCCCTCTAGGACGCTCAGGTTTGGAGTTGACAACATCTCTTCTCGCATATATTTCTTGTACAAGTCTCGATCAATTTGTGCTCGGGGCCCCCAGACCGCAGGACCCTTTTTGATGTTCAGCATGCGAAATTGGATGCCAGCTTTATCGATTATACGACCCGCGACTCCGTCGAGCGCATCAATCTCTCGGATCATTGTCCCCTTGCCTATCCCTCCAAAACTAGGATTGCAGGAACAGACGCCCAAGTTGGACAATGACGGAGTGACGAGTGCTGTACGGGCACCTGATCTGGCAGCGGCGGCACTGGCTTCGGTCCCTGCATGACCACCTCCGATGACCACGACATCGTAAGGCCTGAATGAGGTCAGTACAGAGGTGCGGGATAGGGGCCAGAGACCTACCTCAATGCGTCCGCCACAGCCGCAAAGAAGCGATGGTGGTGCAGCAAGGAGCGAGACCTGGTTCGCGGGCAATGGCCCCATCGAAAGAGGCTCGGATGCCGTAAAGCAGGTGGCATGCTGAGGTATGCACTGGGTCAGAGAATCCAAAATGGCAACATCAAAGTGGTTGATCTCACATGGCGAACAATTTCAGCGCATCGGATAAACCTCGGAACTCCGCATCTCGCTGCAAGGCTACGAGGCTGACTGGCTCGTGGCCACTAGGCGACGAGACTGCGAGGCTGCGAGGCTGTGCCCAGTTGAGAAACTGAGGCTGGAAACTACCTACATGTTCTTTCAACCCTTTCACCCTATAGCCTTCATATTGGAGACTTCGCTTGCTACACCATGAGCTTTGGATTTTCCGTTGGTGATATTCTAGTAATAGCACAATTGGTTGAGAGGACCAGGAGACGTTTCAAGGGCGCTCCAGCGGAATACAATGCATTGGCTGATGAGTTGGCACTTTTGCCTCACATTTCGTGTTGAAACCCTCTGACTACAACAGGACACGCACCCTCCAGATAGTTGTCAATGACCTGAAGATTCAGGTTGAAGATGACGAGCTTGCAGACTCTATCAAAGATGATTTGCGAAATGCCATGACGAACTGCGAGACTGTCTTGTTGGACCTGAACACGGTTATCGACGCTCATACTGAACTTGATTCGGCAACTATAGTGCCACGAAGAGGGCCACAGCGGATATGGAAGCGTCTCCGATGGGATCCCAAGGAGGCAAGCCAACTGCGCTCTCGACTCAGCTCTTCCATCCAACTGCTAGTCGCTGTACGCCAAAGTCTGGACAGGTGAGCTCTGAGATTGTACCCGAATTCAGGACCGACTAAGGTGTTTTTCCTAGTACACTACAGCGCGAGATAGCTCAAGATTTGGCAAGGCTAACTATAAACCATGACAAGGAGAAAGTCCAGCTCGTTGCGGATTGGCTTGCACCTGGCACTTATTCTGCTCATCAACACGATTACTTCACCAAGGTGCAAGCAGGGACAGGGCAATGGGTCTTCACCGACCCGATATATTGCAGGTGGCTCAACGATGCAGGCCCCTCAACGCTACTACTTCCGGGCATTCCAGGAGCTGGCAAGACTTTCACTGCGTCAATCATCATTAACAGTCTGCAAGCGCGGGTGTCCCAGGATGACAACTCGGGACTCGTGTTCTTCTATAACAGCTTTCGAAGGACTGCTACCCAGTCGTGCCATCACATCGTCTCCAGTATGGTGCGGCAACTGTATCTGCAGAAGCCAACCAAAAACAATGCAGTCGATAGCGTCTATGAAGAGCAGCACAAGCACATGGCGCCCGCGGCTCCCAGCCTGGAAGAAATGTGTGCGATATTCGAAAAGCTGTTGTCAAGCTTTTCTTTGGTCACCTTCGTCATGGATGCTCTGGACGAATGCAAGGGACCAGAAGCATCTGATGAGAGGCCGTGGAAATATATCCTTGGTTTCATACTTGGACTACAGGAAAAGCTGAAATCCCAGGTGGCTATCAAGGTGCTCGCAACTTCGCGACCCGATCCGGAAATCAACGGGGTTTTCCCAAAAGATGGACGACTGACGATCCATGCTCGAAATGACGACCTTGAGAAGTTTTGTGATTCTCTGATACCTAAGATCAGATGCATTGCCCAGAAGACTGACCTGCACCCAAAGATCAAAGACGCCATCTGTGATAGTGCTGGGGGCATGTGAGCGTTCCTGCTACAGGCAGACATGCAGTGCATGATTCATTAACACTCCTCCAGGTTTTTGCTGGCAAAGCTGCACTGTGACACCCTTGCGACGAAAACGAAGCCTAGGGACGTGTTGCAAGCCCTCAAGGCCTTCGCCCAAGGCGGTGATGCTCTCGATCGAGCCTACATGGACACACTCCAAAGGATACAAAGCCAACCTGAAGAGCACAGTACACTCGCCAGGAAAGTCTTGGTTTGCGTCGCATTTAGCGTGCGGCCGCTCACTCTCGACGAAATAAGACACGCCCTTGCCGTCGACGAGGAAACCAAAGAACTGGATCCAGAGTACGACTTGGACGATCCTGACGACGTAATCTCAAGCTGTGCCGGGTTGGTAACCATCGACTCTGAGACCCAAATTGTTAGTTTGGTCCACTACACCACACAAAGCTTCTTGGAATCACTCGGTAGTCGACTCATGCCGGATCCTCATGACTTCCTTGCCAGCTGTTGTTTGAATTATCTATATCTAGATGCGTTTGCAGACTGCCACTTCGGTGGCAAGAGTACGATTGACCAGAAGGATGCTTTTCCGTTTGCCGCATATAGCGCAGAATACTGGAGTTGGCACGTATCGTCTGGCAGCGATAACATGTCTTTGAGGCAGAGGGCCTTCTCTTTCCTCGACAACACCGGACGTGTCACCGCTACGCTGCGACTATCTCATCTCCACAGCGCTAACGTACATGGCTTGTGTGCCCTTCACCTTCTCGCCTTCATCGGCTCGAATAACTGGATCACCGACTATATCAGTCGTGGACCCCAAACACACCTGAACGAGCGTGTGAACGGCTTCTGTCTAGAGTGCAGGGAGTTGGCAGCTGAATTTAGATGTCGTCTTGGAGACGACAAAACATCCTGGGTGACGTTACTGACAAGCTGGCGCGGTTCCAGCCAGCGTACGCCACTGTGGTACGCAATAGATCAGCGCCATGTGTCAACAGCAAATCTTTTGATCGATCTGAACAATGGCATACTTAACGACCTAGATGATCATGGTCTGCCTCCATTAACGTTTGCGCTACAGTCTCGGCTTGAGGCTGTTCCGCTCCGGATGCTTGCCGAACCCGAGGCCATATCGTGGTATCAACATCGAGGCTCAGCCTTTGAAACCTATCTACACAACGCAGCCTTGTATGGGGACGAGGCGGTAGTTGACCGACTGCTGGAACTGATATCTGCTTTGGACTCGAGCGAGGCCCGCGAAGTTGCCATCTCTTATACCACTGCACAAAACAGATGGGGTGAAACCGCCCTATTCTACGCGGCTAGCTTGGGACGCCTCGGGATTGTCAAGAAGTTGTTGGCTTATAGTGGGGGGCGTGAGTTGAATGTGGCAGATGAGAAAGGCTACACGCCACTCCATGCAGCGGCACGCTTCGGCTCTTTGGAGGTGGTTCAGTATCTCATGGGCCAAAGAGGCATTCAAGCAGACGTTTGTGACCGCTATGGACGGTCGGCCCTTCACTGCGCTGCCGATGCCGGCGCGGTGCCTGTGATCGAGTACCTCCTCAGTGCTGGCCTCCCAGCAAACTCCAACTCTCACGACGGCCGGAATGCGTTAGTGCATGCTCTCTACGGTCGTCACCCAGAGGCCGCGTTATATTTGGCCTCCCGAGACGATATTGATCTGTATTGCACCGACAAATATGGAAGGAACGCCCTGATGATAGCTGCTTGGGTCACATATGCCGATGGCGTCGTTCGATTTGCGTCTGAGGTACCCGATATCAATCTCACCGATGACGAGGGTGACACAGCCTTGCACCATTTATGCAAGTGTCGTGGCTTGAGGTGGGAAACTGACATTGGCAATAAATTTCAAGCCTGTCTCCAGGCCTTGATCAGCAACGGCGCCGATTGGAATATCAAGAACAAAAAAGGTGAGACTCCATACGCTATACTGTGTGGTCGTTCCCAGAACCTCACGTCCTGGTGGGACCGTCCTATGCTGGAAGCATGGCAAGTCGTGAAGTCAATCTGGGATTCATACTTGTTAGAAACCATGGCCAACTGAGAGGGCTCGATCGAATCGAACAAGATCGATCGAGGCTCCCATTTATGGCCCTTTCGGACCAGGTCACCGAATCCACGCATGGCCTTCGGGACATCTGGTCAAATTCGCTCGCATTTTCCGTGCAAGGCTCGTCGCCGTCGAGGACATACATGCAATACTTTTACGCTTCTCTTACGTGGTATGGTACATGTGGTGGAATGAACCGGGGACCAACCAAACCCTTTCTTACAATCTCGCAGCAGCGTTCATTACGATCACGTTAATTTGGTTGGTTGGTTGGTTGTTTTTGTTTTTCGGTTCAGCGTTACGTCCAAGCTTAGCACAGTCTTCTCAGCGTCAGAGCTCATGTGAATGAATGATATGACATGATTCTTGATTAGCGTCCCTAGAGCGCAATGGATGTCTGGCCTTGTCAGTGTGTATAAGTAGTATGCGTCCCTCTAAGCTAGTGTCACCTGGTACCTCATACAGCACGTCCTGTACCTGGTCTGGTCTGGTCTGGCCTGGCCTGGCCTGGACGGGCCGGGAACTCATTACTTGAGAAAACAAACCGTTTTGTTTGAGTTGGGCGAAGCATTAGCCATCAGAAGCCAGGAACCGTCCTGTCCACGACCCGCAGTCGCCGCCGGCAGAGCCCTTGTCCACATCCTCTTCTGACCCAGACCCCCCGACCACATCAATCCGAAGCACAGGAATGCCGCGAATGGTCCATTTCGTGGGCGCCGTCTTCAGCGGCGCCGGGTCCAGGTACCAGTCGCGGGAGCCGTCGACGGCGACGACGCAAAGCCACAGGCTGCCCACGTCTAAGCGCGGCACCGGCTCGAGCTTGAAGGACCAAAACTCGGCAAAGTTGCGCCGCAGGTGCTCCGCCACCGCGGCCGGTTTGTGCGGGAACCCGGCCGCGACGAGGAGGTCCCGCCGCGCCGTGGTGAAGGCCGCGGCGATCGTCTCCGGTAGCTGGATCTGGCGCGCGGGAGCCCGTTTGGCCGCGATCCGCCACCACGGCATCAGCAGGCTCTCGACCATGTTCATCGTCCACAGGGGCATTTGTGGTGGATGATCGGCCTCTCTGTCTCCGCTACCGCCGTTGGCGTTGGCGTCGGCGGTGACGGAGACGGGGCCTGGTTCGAACATAAAGTCGACCTCGAATGGCAGGGCCGGGCAGTTTGGGGTCGTACGAGCAGTAGAGCGGACCGTAGTAGCGGCGGCGCGTCATCTCGATGGCTCCGCAACACGCGGCGTCGCAGTCCAGCCCGGCCCACTGTTTGAACACAAAGTAGAGCGTCGTCGCGAGACTTCGCGAGTAGTGCTTGACGCGCTGCGCGCCGACGAGGAACTCGCTGCGAGCGGATACCTCTTTTTCTTTTGCTTCTTTCTCTCCTCCTCCTCCTCCTCCATCGTCATCAGTCTGCTGTGAATCCCCTCGGAGGGTGGCAACCCCATCACCCAACCCCCACGCAGACACCACCGGGACGAAATGCACAACGACCCTGCGCCACCTCATGAGCGGCATCCGCGCAATCTTCTCCAGGAGCAGCGTGCAGCGACACTCCTTGTGCCCGATGCTTTCCAGTAGTGGCTGGCAATCGCACGATTTGACGCCGCTGAGCCAGAAGCGCAGCGGCTGGCGGAACACCTGGCGCAGGGTTTCGCGTCTGACCGACACGCTCGTCCTCATGAGACAGCGGATCGTCGCCACGTCGATGTCGTGACGCGCGTCGGTCGAGATGCACAGCCCGTCCCTCACGATGTAGCTGATCACTCTGGAGGTGATTTCTTCGGGAAGTGTGAGTTTTTTGCTGCGCGGCGGCGATGGGGATGGGGATGGTGCTGGTGCTGCGCTTGAGCCTGAGGCTGCGGCTGGGAATGTGTCTCCTTTGACGACGCCTTTGCCTTCGCTTCCGCCTTGGCCGTCGAGGGAGTTCGTCAGAGTCATGATAATGATGATCCAAGGGGAAGAGCCCGAAGTTTCTAGACGAGGCCGAAGCGGCTTGAGCCTAAGACATCATTCATATACCTGAGATTATCAGGCTGGCTTCAGTTCACTGGTGAGATTTCGGTTACCGTCTGCCTGTTGGGTTGGGTTGGTGAAGACTCGACCTTTGTATCGATAGACTCCCCAATTTTTCAGAGGTGAAGAGCGTCAAGTTACGGTGGTGACACAGATATGTAAGTGAAAGACCATGTGCAGATACACATTCGAGTGGGAACGTGGGACGTAGCAATACCGTGGTTTAGCCTCATGTTTCAAATGACGTGTTCCCCCTGCCATTCCCCCAAGACTGAGTGTTTCTAATGTCATCCACAATGTTGTACATGCCATGAAGAGTGAGCACAAGCACTGGGCTGTGTCAGGACCGCGCGGTCTCAGAATACAACGTTCACCACCTTGCCGCCTCCAACGACAATTACTCTTTTCTTCTTTTCCCAGTTGTTCTTCTCCGTTAGCCACATTCGGCCTTCTTCCGTTTCTAGAATAGCACGGATGATCTCCGCCTCTCGTGCCGCTGGATCGGTTCCAGCCTTGCCGTCTGCGCGAGGGGACGGTACTGGTGCTGTGAACCGTAGTTTTCCATTGATCTGCACGGCGCATGTGATGGTTGTTTTGCGACTCCGTAGAGCAGCCTCTTGTTCAGGCGTTATGGCATCGCCCGTCCATGACACATCGAAGATGCTCCTGCTTTCTGTGCCCGGCACCACTCTTTCCCAACATTCCTCGGCGAATGCCGGAGTGATTGGCGCCATCATCTTTAGGAGCGCGGTCACGGCGACATAAGCGACAGAAGGTGTCAGGTTGTTGACGCCGATTCCTTCGAGGCCGTTTGTTAGCTTGATAAGGTCCGAGACGGCTGTATTCAGGCTGTAGATGTCGCTCGAGAATGTCTGCAAGATGCTCTTGCAGGTCCCTTGCGTCAAGAGCAGCGCCTCAGCATCACTTGTGTTAAGATCTCTCGGTTCAGGTATCGTGATCTGTGAGACGTATTGGTCCTGGGAAGGCAGCTCGGAGATGACGCGGTTAACTCTGCCAAACCACCTCTGTATACCAACAATCTTTTCCTCGTCCCATTGCAGCACTTCACTAACTGGTGCAGCGAAGAGAATATGGGCTCGTAAAGTATCTGCTCCAAACTTCTCAATCGCGACCGAGGGGTCCACACCGTTATGCTTGCTCTTGGACATCTTCTCCCAAGTGACGTTGGGTGCCTTGCCAGAGGCTTTGATGGTTGCGGCCTCGCCGTCAAAGTCGACCTCACTGGGCAACAAGAACCGACCACTGTCTGGGTCGGAGAATGTCTTCCCATGCACCATCCCCTGCGCTATCAATTGTTGGAACGGCTCGGCATGGGCCTTATCGCTGGAAATAAGACGTTCGCTGCACAGGAATTTGTAAATGAAACGTGCATAGAGTAAATGTAGAATAGCATGCTCGACGCCTCCAATGTAAGTATCCACAGGGAGCATATCGGCTGCGGATTGCGGGGAGAAGGGTTCCAGCTCATTCGTCGCGTCTGGAAATCGCATGAAGTACCAGGAAGAGTCGACAAATGTATCCATCGTGTCCGTTTCTCGCTTCGCCGGACCTGTGCAGGATGGGCATTGGCAATTGACCCATTCCGCCATCCTATCCAGTGGATTACCGGATTGTCCTTTGATTGATGAATCGAGTCGAGGTAATACCACGGGAAGGTCTTTTTTGGGCACAGGAACAGGTCCGCAGGCCGGGCAGTGTATGATGGGGATTGGCGTACCCCAGTATCTTTGGCGGCTCACAAGCCAGTCACGAAGTCTCCAAGTTTCGACTGCTTCCGCAAGACCGTGTTTCTCCAGTCCAGAGACAATCTCGGTTCTCGCCTTACTGCTTGGTAGACCCGTGTAAGGACCACATGAAGAAGTCAGCCACCCGTCATTTGTGTACGCTTCGACCACATCGATGGCAAGCACACGAGAGGCCCTGTTAGCTAAAGGCTCTGGCGATATTGCAATTGTGACAGGATCTGAGGGTCTGTGGAGTTTCCAGAAGCTGAGATCGCGAGAGTCGTGAGCTGGGACACCCATCACTGCGCCTTCTCCGTAGTCTGCCAGCACATATGGGGCGGCATAAACGGGCAATGGCTCAGCATCTGAATCTCCGACTTGTGAAAGGGGATTGAAGGCCAAATACGGCAGCTCGAAGCCTTCCTTGGAGTCGGGCGGGAAAGAAGCTCGTCTGTCGAGAAATTTCTGCAACTCAGGTAACTTCGCGGCCGCCCGTACCACGAGAGGGTGTGTCAGTGAGAGTGCAACATATTTGACTCCAAACAGCGTATCCGGACGGGTGGTGAAGACATGGACAAGGGAAGAGTTTCCAGATTCATCTCTTAAGCCAAACTGGATGCGTGCCCCTGTCGAGCGGCCTATCCAATTCCGCTGCTGAGTTATGACTCTCTCTGGCCACTTTCCTCCGTCTGACAGATATTGCAGATCTTGTAGTAGATCTTCTTTGAACTCCGTTATTTTGAAGAACCACTGGCGTAGTTTGATCTGCTGCACTAGAGCTCCTGATCGCCACGACCGCCCATTGTGGTCGACCTGCTCATTGGCAAGAACCGTTTTATCGACAGGATCATAATTAACCAGCGCTTCCGCTTGATATGCCAGACCACGATGATATAACCTGAGGAAAATGTCTTGAGTGTGCTTGTAGAACGACGGCGAACATGTTGATATTTCCTACGGAGGATTGATCAGCGCTATGTACATGTATTCCAATCCTCTGACCTACGGCATCCCAATCAAAACTTGTGTTCATGCTCTTGAGCTGTTGTTTCATTTTTGCAATGTTGTCATCGGTCCAAACAGCAGGATCAAGACCGCGCTCGATTGCAGCATTCTCTGCTGGGAGTCCAAATGCGTCCCAGCCAGTTGGGTGAAGCACATCATAACCTCGCATTCTTCGATAGCGGGCGATTACGTCGGAGATGGTATAGACTCGAAGATGACCCATATGAAGAGACCCAGATGGGTAAGCAAACATCGGTAGCACATAGGACTTGGGTAGGGAGCTTGATCGCCCTCGGGCCTTTGGCTGGTTTGCCCATCTCTGTTGCCATTTCGCATCGATGGTTCGGAGGTCGAGGCGAGGAACTTGAGCGGCAGCTCGGACAGCGGTGGTGTGTAGGCTTCGTACAAAGAGCAGCCTGGCAGACTGACGGACAAGGGACCTCCCCTGCATAACCTCCGACCCCTCCACCACCGGTTGGGCACAAGAATGACAAGGTAACGTGAACCACGACAGTTTTAGTCGGAGCAGAGTGATGCACCGCAGGGAAATACACTATCATGTTTGGTAGGAAGGTTGGCCGAGTCTCGTGACTGCGCGACCGTAAACTTCAACTCCACTCAGTTTCTGTTGTTCTCTTCACGTCCATCTCATCGTTCAACTTTGCGCAATGCCAACTAAGCTGCTTCAAAACCTGTCTTCCTTCGATCGTTGATGCTTGAGGCTCTTCTTTTGTCTCAAAGCCCCCTTCCGATCCCGTGCCGAAATTGAAGACGCGAAGATGACAGCTCTTGGTGTCACACCAGAACTTCACACTGAACGAACCGTGTTGACGCAACGCAGCTAGATGACCGGCTTAGAGATGGATCAGGAAGATCATCACGCTTTGACGAGCAAGCGCATAGACCCAGGAAGCAGGAGTTCCTCCTGCAATGCGAGATACCTGGTGTCGACGCACTACCGGTTCACGACTCGGGGGACCAATCTGACTGAGTGACCAGGAGCCTTCTCACTTCGAATTTCCTTCTGCTGCCATGGAGACAACAGCATATCATGCACTGGAGTGAGAACAACTTGCATGCCGTCAATGTTATCCTGTGCTTTTATGTGCTTTCATGGTCGTGTGGGTTTTTGTAAGTCGAGTACTCTGGTGTGCAAGGTTGTCGGCGGCTTGTCATGCGTATCCTATATGGAGCGATCATAGCCCCTATGCGCACCGTCTCCGTCCCCAAAGATCTATACACATGCGTCAGTGCAGAGACAAGATTTGCATCTACAAGGCTGAGAGATATGAAAACTCTCCTGGTACAGGTCACGTGGTAGGTACGTCGGTGAGAGTCACAGGCGTTGAGGTGACAGAACAGCTCTATAACATGTGCCTCATCCATCAACTCAACAACTTCACATCTTTGGCACCTGTCACCTCATTGGTCCTTTTCACTGTCACCTTGCTACTGCCTTCACGATTTGAATCAGTGCGTGGTGCGCACAAAGCATGTGATATACCGCGCCTCTTCTTTCTTCTCTCACATAACTCTCTCACTTAACGTGCCTCGATCTGGACAATTCCCTCTGATCCCACTTATCAGACGCCTGTCAGTCTTCTTGACAATAACAGAACTACGTTTTGTCGTGGGAGTGGCCGAGGCAAGTTGCTGCTTCAAGATCACTCGAATTCTCAATTACTCTGGACCTGCACAGACCGAGAAATTCGGACTCACCTCACCGCCCAACCTGCTTTGTCCCTCACAGAGGACAGCAAGCCTTTCTTTGTCAATATGGCACTCAGCAATGCTTCGCAAATGAAAGCCATCAACACGGGTAGGAAGCCATGGCTTTTGGTGTCTAGACTTGAACTAACCACACCTTCTCTAGGTCACTGCACGCCAACAGCGACCCCTTGTCGTCCTGCCAATGTCCCCTCTCCCGACACCAGCATGATAGATCTGGAGATGACCATTTCTCAGGGGCTACAGTTTGGGAGTGAGAAGAATACAAAGATGGATGGCCAAGTGTATGGCAGCGACTGTGCTCCTCAACCCGTGCTCATGTCCAAACCTCGAGTCTCAACCATCCAAGCTCCTACTATCGAATACCCGAAGAATCATTTACTCGGCATTCCTCTAGAAGTTCGCGACGCCATTGTAGGCCTGGTTCATGCGACCAAGCATGTGGTTGGTGCTCGCCCTTCCACTGGCTGTGCGACATTTCAGCTCGTCTGCCGTCAGATGTATCACGAAACATACTGTTACTTCAATACCGAGACCACTGTACTGGCATCAGCCAATCGACTTGAAGAATTCCTTGGGAGATCGCTGAACATTGCCACAATCAGAAGCAAGGCTTACCGGAGCGTCAGAAGCCTCTTTCTCGAAGTTCCGCACAATAGCGACCCGATTCTATTCCTCCAACTGGCCGAGGTCTTGAAACATTCAATCCAGCTTGAAGAATTGCACCTGTTCGGAATCGGGGCAGATGGTTGTGGAGAAAACACGAGTTCTTCTGCCCATCCTTGTGGAAAACATAACACTTTGATGATGCCAGCAGCCCGCAAGCTATCCATTGATGGACAGCAGTACCAATGTCGCCTAGCTATGGTCAACAGCATCCCATGGCTAGAGAGACTAAGGGTTCTAGTTCTGGACAACCTCAACCTTCCTTTGCTTCAATCCCATGTTCTCAAAAACAAACCACATCTGGAAACATTATACATCGCAGCAGATCCACGAACCGTGCTGCATGGGGCGTACGCGAACAAGATCGCCTATACGGTTGGCAACCTCGTCTTCCCGCCGGACGGAAAGGCTCCTCCGGTCAAACAACTCCGCGTCGATTCCAATTCCATTCTCACTGCGAGTCAAATCACATTGAAGACGGCCAGGACCCTAGAAAGTCTCGAGTTTGTCATCCCCGATATGTTGTTCCAATCGCATACGAAGGGAATCAACTTCTACAGGGAAGCCACCATTATGTTCCATAACCTCCACATTTTTGCGACACAATTGCGTGAACTCAAGATCTGCGTCCATGGCGCCATTTCAGAACACTGCCATCGACACGCAAATTTCATGGGAGCTCTCAAAGACTGCATTTCACGCATGAGATCTCTGCAGCTCATTGAACTCCATGTCAATGTTCGATCGCCTTGGTTAGCTCAAGAATTCATTGAAGCGGTACCTCGGTCTGTCACTCGACTCTACCTCACCGACCTCCTCGTCCAGAGAGATCTCGGTGAGATCTCAGACTTCGTTGCTGACAAAACCAAGACGCCTTTGTCGTATTCGAGCGATGTTGAAGCCCATGCCATTGGAGAGGATCTTGAGAGAACAGATTACATTGAGTTCAGCAACCATCGCCTGGCCTTTGTAGGTTACGAGTACGAGGTTTTGGTCAAGGAGACTGCTGCGAAGGCGCAAGCGGAAGCCAGAACTATGGACAGATTTCTGAATCTCAATGGCAGAATGTTGGACAAAGAACGAAACCGACACCTGGCTCCACTGGAGGGGAGAGACATACCGTTCAAGAAGGGCAGCATTGGAACCACTGCGCTGACCTTGACATCTCAGAGTGAAGGTGCTACCCGTACACAAGCCAAAGTTGAGAAATATCGCAAAGTCCTGGACAAGTGTGGCTTGGGAGATAATGAATATTTTGGGAACGAAAATGCTGCACAAGCCATCTTTGAGGCCGAGCCCGCGGCCAAGGGCGGCGACTACAGCTATCCGGTGACTGTAGAGGTTGAGGAGGAGTTCAAGTTTTCCAACCACTGGCTGAGCAAGTGAAGGATGCAGCAACATCTTTGGAAGCGGCTAGCTGGCCTATGAATGGACAATACTGGAGCTTGACATCGGCGTTGGATACGAATAGACAAAGCACGCACGCATCCGTCCGGGGCACAGACCCCTTGCTACACGTCTGTTTATTGGGGAGTTCAGGGCATCATTACTTTTGAGGTAATAGAGACAATTGTGGTGTGGATGGTTTGGGAGACCCTCGAATAGATGGCACACTCGAAGAAAGAGAGCCTGACGGATAGAAAAGGAGAATGGCTGAAAAAGGCGAAGAGATATTCCAATAGAATGATCAAATCAGTGACTTGTTTGCTGTACCTCTTAACTTTTGCCCTGGTGATCACGAGACTCTTCACTTTGTACTCGGTACAACAAGCACAAATCTCAAGGTGGATGCGTCGGGTCTGATCCGACGTCCCCGGCACCGCAGATCGACAGGCCCTCGTTTGGCGTGTGTCAGACTGCAACTTTGTCTTCCGCGTATCAGCGCCTGGGATCTGAAGTGGAAAAATACCGGCCCTTTTCCCGAGTAAGGTTCTTCGCATTCTGACCTGTTCACTGACTCAAGCATTGCAGGAACAGCGTTTCCTTGATAAGCAAGGTCGCTCAAAATGCAGCGAGATCCAGCATCTCCTGCCTCTCATACCTCCGCTTCAGCACAAGCCGACTACAACCTCTCACCTCCTTCGCTATGGCAGGATGGTCGGAAACGGAAGAATGCTCCGCCTGGCTCGCGGAGCGTCGATACCCTCACGCCCGAACAGCTGGCCAAAAAGCGTGCCAATGACCGTGAAGCCCAACGCGCAATCCGAGAGCGGACCAAGCAGACCATTGAGAACCTGGAGCGGAGAATACAGGAGTTGACATCCCATCAGCCATATCAAGAGCTCGAGGCCGTCATCAGACAGAAAGATGCTATCCAAGCAGAGAATGAGGAGATTCGCAGGAGGCTTGCTTCAGTCATGTCCATCATTCAACCTATTGTAGGAGCGCAGGGATTGACTGGTATTCCTCTTTCTACTTTCTCCTCCTCTCCAGTCTCGTCTTCTCACCTTAACCGTTGTTACTGTTAGATCTTGCGACGGCTGCGCAGCACAATGTCCAGGCTGGGCTGGTTCAGACACACCCTGTTCTCAATCCTCCGTTTCCTCCAAGTAACGGCACACAAGCCAGCCCAACCTCCTTCCATATCCAGCGAAATGGGCAGACCGCCTTCTCCGTCTCTCCCATTCTGTCACAAGGCCAGTCAGAAACACCACCGCATCCTCCACAGTTGGGAGGAGAAGTAATCGAGGACCACAGGCCTTCACCCACGTCAAGAGATGCACTGAATAACCAACGAGACAATCTACAACGTGGCCTTGAACTGAATGAGGGTGGGGAGCGTGTCAACTTCGGATTTCTGCTCGATCTTTTGGGACAACGAACAGGCAATGCACGCGCGCAAACTCACCCTCACCCTCGACCACGACCACAACCTCAGCCCGGCGTCAGCTCCCCTTACCCAGCGCTTCCCTCGACGCTACCCGATCAACTTACACTTCCTACGACACGTTGGAGCGTCCTCCCTAAAATCAGTCCTCCTACGTGCCCCCTCGATAGCTTGCTACTCAAACTCTTACAATCTCGTCAGCGCGACCCGATCAGCGGCGCCAACGCACTCCCCACAACACCAAGCTATCCTTCTGTTTCGTCTCTTCTGAACCCCAGCGGGCCTCGTCGATCTCTGGATGACATGTCCCAACTCATGACAGATATCATCTCGAAGTTCCCCAACATCTCTGGATTGCCAGAACAAGTAGCGACATTGTTTATCATGTTCACCCACATGCGCTGGCAAATCCATCCTACCAAAGAAAACTACGAGCGCCTCCCCGAATGGTTCCGGCCTACTCCAGCGCAAATATTCCAACCTCATCCCGCATGGATGGAACATATCCCATGGCCACGGATGAGAGATAGGGTTGTGGTGAACCCTCAGGATTATCCATTTGATGATTTCTTCTTCCCTTTCACAGCCGATTTATCTGTCAACTGGCCGTATGATCCGGTGGATTGTCTCCTCAGCACTTCTGAGAAAGAAGAACCAGTCATCAACCCGGTGTTTGAGAGCCACATTCGACGCCTGGAGAACTGGAGTCTGGGACCGTTGTTTGCCGAGACCTATCCTAATCTGGTGGAGACGGTGAGAATAAAGGAGAATGAACCCGGGCCAAGCTGACGAGTGGATTGATGGAAAAGAGCTGAACGTTTGTTCATAATTTGTATTTGTTGGTCTTGCCAATTGGTCAGATTGTCATCATGGTCGAAGGATCATCGGCTTGCTCGGGTGCTCTTGGTGGCCTTTACTGGCTTCAGCGCCTGCGAACCGTTTCCTCCTCCGCTATACCACAGACCAAACCCCGGAGAGGGTTGAGGAGCTCCTCGATGACCCATGTTGCTTGTGGAAGGATACCCGCTGAAAGAAAGCTCCACGCACAAGCCACTCAGCGGACCGTCGAGACAGCTACCTCTCAGTATGTTAACCAGCTGGAATGATGAGGCAGGAGAGTGTACCAACATGCGGGCGGTGCAGTGCTGGTCTATACATCCTCTAGGATGCATGCAACGCTGCTCGTTCCAGTCCCAAACAAGCCAAAAGCAAAATCATGAAAAGCCCGCTTTGCCTGAGCGCAACGCGAAAAGCAGAAGGACGGAAAATACCCTCACGGCACTATCGCCGTTAATTTGATTGATTTATTAATTAATCAATTACTTAATTGACTGATGGCTCTGATCGCTCGGTACGTACTGAGTTATTGAGTCCTTGATCAATAATATTAATGGTCCCGAAAACCAATCAATCGATTAATCGGACAGTCCATCAATCAGTCGCTCCCCAGTCGTCAGTTATCAGTCTTCACTTGGTTCTCCTCTCTATTTCCCACACGGTGAATATTCATGTACTGTAGATACCAGCACAAGAGGATGTACCGAGTATATAATTCCCGGTGCGATGTATACCTCCCTTGTATGTATGTGTGTACGTAGGTATGTATATATGACTTGGACGAGGTTCAAAGAGAACACACCTATGTCCCTACCCACACAAGCTACCTCCCGAGTACCGAGTACCTAATACCTGTGTAGTACATGTGTTACTCATAAGTAGATAGCCACGTCGCTTGGTACTTGTTGAATCTCTTCCAGTCGTACAAGGACATAAGGGTACAAGGGGGGGTTTTACGACTGGCGACTGACTGATCGGGTAGCCTTGCTCTCTCCTCAAAAAAAAAGTCTAGAGGAATGGTTACCACAAAAACTCGTGCGATTGTGAGTTGTCCGCTTCTATAAGAAACGCCATTCCATTCCTTGACCCTGTACTGCGCCTTCGACCGCCTCGCACAGCACATGTCATTTTCTCTCATAAAAAATCAAGACTGACTCTCTGGACATTGAGATTCCGTTGCTCATTATAGCCAAACGCATTGACAATGTCGTCTATGCGGCAACCTTGGCTCCATATTTGGCTGCCGCGCTATCAAAGAGCTGGCTTTTCTCTTCCAAATCTCTCAACAGCGCGTGCTCTGCGTCTCTCTCCCGTAGTTGTTGAAGTAGTCCTTGAACGTCCTCGGCCTTCTTCCCAACAACACTTGCCAAAACGACACTGTTTGCGATAGATTGCACATCTGCATTGGCCATGCCGACAGCTTGCTGCAATGCTGCCTCGGCCTCTTCCAACCTTCCTAGATGTATCTCGGAAACAGCTTGTCCCACCAATGCCGTGGGACTGGTGTTCCCTGGCGTAGATGCGAGTTCCTCGTAGACATAAAACGCCGACTGATACTTCTCTTGCCCGCCTTCCCTGAGATTCGTCCAAGCTTCGGCTAGGTTGATGAGTAATGAATCCTGCGCCCAGCGTTTGGCAGCAGCAACTTCCTTGACAGCCAAGTCCGTCCGGTTCTGCATCAGGTGAATCTGTACCAGTAGAGCCACGGCTTCAAGAGAGCCTTGGTGCTTGGACAAGAGATCGACGGCTTTCACGTATTCACCCGCCGCTGCGAGGACGGTACCAGAGCAGATCTGAACCACGGCATCCTCCGCATCAGATTCAGCCAGGGCCAGTGCTGTTTCAAGTGCCGCTGAGTGGTTGCCGGCCGCTTGTTGTGCCAAAGCAACTATGGAGCGGGAGGCGGCGTCTTGTGATTGTTTCAGGGAGGAAATGACGGACGAGGCATCGCCGATGGCTATTTGTGCGCGATATTTGAGGATTTGTGCTATGGTCTTGTTTTCTGCGGAGAGAGAAGAGCTGTCAAATTCGAGGACAGTCGGGTATGCGTGCGTGTAGAATGCGGTCGTTATATTGAGCAGTTCTGAGTGACATGAAGTTAGAGCGTGAGTTCAGGACATGTGGAAGGGGTGATGTGCATACCGCCCTCGCCAGAGAAGGGATCCATGATGGTGAGATCGTCCAAGAGATTGACAGAACAGGACAACAGATATGGGCTTGCGGAGACGACAATGTGGAATATGGTGAGCGAACCCCTCGAGAACTGTCAACTTCAATATACGGGGTATTGGTGCTGTCTATATATGGAAGGTGCGGCGAGAACAATCTCCGCTCGCATGCATGTCCATCGCCAGCCTTGTGCCTGGATCCCTGTTCCTGGAGACTTCAGACCCCAAGGACCTCATTCACGCAGTCAAAGAGAAACAGACGCTGTCTCCTTTCGTATTGCCGCCGGCGGCACAACATACGGAGCCCGACTTACAGAGTCCCCCGAAGATAACCACATCCCAATCACACCCAGCCCCCACTCTCTTCAACATGCCCGCGCCTCGGGCCCCCCGCTTCAGCTTCGCCTACAACAGCATCCTCCTCGATCACCAAAAGATCCAGACGGGACGGGCCATGAGTCGAGTCAAGGCAAACTACCACCTGTTCCTCCGCAACCAGCCGAGAAAACCGCACTTCAAGATCCAAGACCTCGGGCCCAGAAGGAGGTGGCAGGTCCCCAAGATGAGGCAGATTGAGGATTGAATGGCAGCTGGATAGATCGCTGCTGTGGAAACAGGTAGCCTGGCGCGTGAAACGCACTTTCTACCTCTCGCGTCTCTGCGAGGGGGCTGGTTACAGCGTTATCGGATGGGTTCACGGGTATGATTTTATGAAAATGTACTTTTATTGGTGGCTACAGCGGGTTCAGGACATGTCAACGGAGGCTCTCCACTTTGGTAGTGAATGGGAATATATCTCTTCTTCTCGCTCATTCTCTTCCAGCTAATCCTCGACAGTTTACTCTTTCAGCGGCACGGTGTCAACAAACAAAGCCTTCGCAAAGGCCTCGGGATACCGAGCACCATGAACTTCAGCCGCGTCAATGACCTTCCGAATCTTCGCATTGTCCTCGGGAGTGATTTTGACGTTCAATGAGGCTATGTTCTCATCAAAGTTCTTGATTCTCGTGGTTCCTGGAATTGGGAGGATGTCGTCTCCCTGGGCCATCAAAAAGGCCAGGACCAGTTGGCCCGGAGTGCAACCCTTCTCATCAGCCAGAGCCTTGATGTCGTCGACCAACTTGATATTCTTGGGGAAGTTCTCCTCGCTGAATCGAGGTGCAAACCTGCGGAAGTCGTCTGCTTCAAAATCGTCTCGGCTTCTGATGCCTCCAGTCAGGAAGCCTCGTCCAAGTGGGGAATATGCCACGACGGCCACTCCCAGCTCACGGCAGGCCTTGAGAAGTCCGATCTGGGGGCTCTCAATGTCCATGGAGAAGGGGCTGTATTCGATCTGAAGCGCATCGATGTGCGCCACCTACGTTGAAGTGTTAGTGGGTAGAGGTTAAGAAGGTGAGCGCGCGATTCTTACCTTGCAGGCCCTTCTGAGAGTGTCGGCGCTGCACTCACTCAATCCCAAGTACTTGACCTTGCCGGCATCTTGCAGCTCCTTCATGGTTTTGACCGTGATCTCGATGGGTTGGTCGGCTTGCACTCTGTGGCAATAGTACAGATCGATGTGGTCAACGCCCAACCGCTTCAAGGACTTGTCGCAGGCTGCCCTGATGTATTCTGGCTCGTTCTTGACCAAGCGAGCGCCAGTTGCGGGGTCGACGGCGTTGCCGAACTTTGTGGCGAGAAAGATGTTCTCTCTCTTACCAGGGTTCCGCTTGAACCAACGGCCAAGCAGATCTTCATTGTCTCCGTAAATGTCGGCAGAGTCCCAGAAGAGCTCGCCGGCTTCGTAGGCGTGGTCTAGCATAGCATAACGTTCTTCGTCGGGCTTTGGTTTGCCATAGTAGGCGGAGAGACCCATGAGGCCGAAGCCTAGGGCGGTCACCTCAGGACCATTCTTTCCGAGCTTGCGAGTTGGAAGTTTTGGGGCCATCTCTGGGTTGGTGGAAGTGCAGTTTATCTTGGTCGCAGGTGAGTTTGAGGGAGGAAGTGTTGGATGGATGGAATGATGTGGACGAGACGCAGTGGTCGATGGCGAGGGGTTTTATAGTTCATCAGTGTGCGGTGTTGGAACTCCGGACAAGACTCGAATTCCACGGACGCAATCAATCATAATCAGCGAGTGCATCTCTCGTACCGGGTTTTAGCCCAAAGACCGTCGAAGTGTCTGTCGCCATCTGAGTTTCTCTCTTTCTCTCTCTGTCTCTCGCTTCTCCACCCCACCTGTCCACGCGATTGATAGTGATCGAGTGATGTCATGCATCCAGTGGCCCTGATTGGCTCATTTAGTCATCCTCAAACCCGTCTCGTCGTGTATCGAATCCCCCACCAAAGAGCTGGAAACCCCCGTTCTTCCTTGTCCCAGTCACGGCTTTAGGCGTTTGTCGCTCCCCTGTCCAATTGCCATCCATTACTAAGGATTGAGATGACAGTGATGCATGCGGCCGCCCTGCCCGCAATGATATGTTTACAGACTATTCATCCAACGGTGACTTCGCTTCCCACGAGATACCGCCGTCGATCTTAGAGGGGTTATTACTCAACTAGGCAAGGCTACGTCCACAGCCTGGTCATCAGCCCTATTCACCTTCTATAAACCTCGTTCCTCGAACTTCACGGTTTCCCATGCTTCCAACCAGGGTCCTTTCGTACCCGGCCCAACTGCGCTTCCATACCACCATCATCACCCTCATCATCTGTTCGGTCCGAAGACTATGCTACTGCACAATGACTAACAATATGGCCCGAAAAGATGCAGGATGTATACTTATGTGATGGCCTCGCGACTACACGGTTGACTGTACGTATGCGCACCTGTGTGATGTGATGCGATGGTGTGGGATAGACCCGTCACATAACCTGGGCGGATCGCGGAATTCGCACACAAGCGGTTGTCCTTTGGAGATATTATCATCTGATCCTGTTGTTCCGAGAGCATTCCGAGTCTGAAATGGTGGCCTGTGCGTTGAGGAGGGGAAACGATCACTCCCTCCTCAAGTCCCCCCTCGACCACCCAAGTATTCCGTACTACTCTCTAGATGACCTGCCCTGAAATGGTGCTCTGGTCATGGCACCAGTCTGACTTTATTACTTAAGCAGCTATCGAGACCGCGGATGGGTGGCGGACAACCAGCTGCTAGCCGAGGAATAATGCGGGCTGCCGAGTCGCCGTGCTGTCGTGGCGATCATCTCAAACGCGGGGAACGGCCCGCAAAACTACGACACCTTTGATGCAGTCGGGTCACCAAGCAGAGGAGGAACAACCGCGGATGTCGGGCCCGGCAGAGTAGGTCCTTTTTTCGTATAATTACGGTCGCCCAGCAGAGTAAGAGCTTAGAGCTCAGAGCTCAGGACAGCACCATCGATTCCATATCTTTGAAACCATGGCCCATGAACACCTGAAGCCTTTTGGTTCACTTGACCCATTTGCGGAGCCTGCGTGGTACAACGCTCTCGACTCACCGTACTACAATGATAGCCACAGGACGTTCCGAAAGTTCGTCAGAGACTATCTCGAGACCAATGTTTTGCCCTATTCAGAGCAATGGGAGAAGGATGGCTTTGTCCCTCTCGAAGTGAGCATACCCACCAAAGGGTATCGCAGTGGAGTTCTCACTAACGGCCTCTTTCAAAGGAGAGAGTGAAGTATGCACGGTCAGGCCTTGCTTTTGCTGAGCTTCCGAAGGAATACAGACGAGGTATTCCGTTGCCGGGTGGGATTCCAGAGGAGCGTGAGTCGTTTCCGAGATTCCAGTTGTTCTAGAGGTTGATGTGGATGCAGAATGGGACATCTTCCACCAACTGATTCTGCACGACGAGACATCCCGAGTGCACGGCGGAGCCATGGGCGGACTCGCTGGCACATCTGTCATTGGCCTGCCACCCATCATAAAATATGGCACCCAAGAGCAAAAGGACAAGTACCTTCCGGGTATCTACACTGGAGAAACGAGATTTTGCCTTGGGGCCACGGAACCTACTGGCAAGGATCCCTTTGTCGGAAGGCTTGATATGGGCTCTAACATCCCACAGGTGGTTCCGACCTGGCCTCTTTGAGAACGACGGCCAAAAAGTCCCCAGACGGGAAATATTACGTTGTGAATGGGCACAAGGTGCGAAGAATCAACCCAGAAATGCAGCAGTCTCTGTCCCTAACACTCGGCCACAGAAATGGATCTCCGGGGCTCTATCTGCCACGCATATGACCACTGCAGTGCGAACAGGTGGTCCTGGGAAGGGTGGGGTTTCTATTCTAGTTATTCCCACAAACTCGAAAGGATTTTCGGCCAGAAAGATCGAGAATAGCGGAGTCAATGCTGCGGGTAAGTTTGTAAAGCGATGCTTCCAGAGATCCTTGTTAAAGCCTTTAGAAACCGCATGGGTCGATCTAGAGGATGTCCATGTGCCAGTCGAGAACCTCGTTGGTCCCGAAAACGAAGGCTTTCGGATTCTCATGCACAGTGGGTGACCCCTCATGTTCTGCTACGGTCCTCCAACTGATTACCGGTGTAGATTTCAATTCGGAGCGGTTCATAATGGCCATCCACATGAATCGCAAGGCACGAGTGTGTCTGGAGGTTGCTCTAGACTATAGCCACAGCCGGATCACATTCGGCAAGCCGCTCATCTCGCACCAGATCATCCGCCACAAGTTTGTGACCATGGCGCGATACATCGAATCGCACTGGGCCTGGCTCGAGCAGATCGCGTACCATATCAAGCTCAACGGGTGGGAAAGCGACATTGCGAGCAGGATTGCACTCGCAAAGATCCACGCTGGTCGGATCCTGGAACTGGCCAATCGAGAGGCACAGCAGGTTCTGGGGGGAGCGGGTTACCAGCGTGGCGGAGTGGGAGGCTTGGTCGAGCTGATCAGCCGAGATTTGCGGATGCAGGTTGTGGGAGGAGGGAGCGAGGAGATCTTGTCGGATTTGGCTCTGCGCCAGGAGCTGACTGCGGCGAGGAAGCGAGGGTCGATGTTGTGAGCAGTGGGTATGAGAGAATTGGAAAAGCTAGTGGGAGTCTTAGTATAGGACATATGAGGAACACTTTACTCAGTGGTGTTACTCGGACACGTACAGTCTGTTTTGAGGTGTCTTGTTTGACCTCGGGCCTCTAGTACAAATACCAAGCCGTGTCAATACGGGAGCCAGGTTAAAATATGGTGAGGGGCAAAGTTAGGTCTAGGGTATATAAAACTAAAAATTAAAGCATATGCATCTACTGTGCATACCTCGTACTCGTACTCGTATCTATACTCTATCCAAACCACCCCTAACCACTGTTTAAAGACAGTTGGGGCAGTCTCACACATACAAGTCTACACGATCTTCCAGAATCGCAAGACACCCCACGGCCAAAGCGATCATAGTCAGACGAGCCGACTACCACCCTCTCAGTTCACATCTTGCTACCAGTTCTCCTCCTAATTCTATCACTATTCTCCCCTCTCATCCAACCAGCCATCCACCCGACCATTCAGCCAACCATCCAATGTCTCCCCCTCCTCCCCCCTCTCTTACCTTGAGCCATTCGCACAACCTCGCCCGCCTGATCGGCCCGACCCTCCTGACCATCTCCCTCGCCGAAACGCTAAACCCGCACATCTGGGCCACCAGCACCGCGTCGGCCGTCTTCCTCAACGGCGCCGTCGTCTTCACCGCGTCCCTCGCCACCGTGCAGGCGCATAACCTCTGGAGATGGACTGCCCGGACGCAGACGCAGACGCAGACGCAGACGCAGACGCAGACGCAGACGCCGCGGTGGGCGATTCTGGTCACTCTGGCGGGCTGGGCGGGGGTGGTCGTCGGGTTGACGCGCATGCTCGCCCCGGAGAGGGTGTTGGAGGGCGTGGAACGCGCGGGGGCCGGGCAGGTCAAGGTCGCGGCGGAGGTGGTTGCGGCGTTTGGTGCAATTCTTACGGTTTGTGGGTATTGCTTCTGATTCTCCCTTCTTGCCGAGGACAGGGATGGTGATGTGTGGACATGATGGGATGTGTGTCTGTCTACATGCATGAATGTATACAAGGTCCTTTCCATGGCATGTTACGTTACGTTTTACATTACGTTATATTACGTGATATCACGGTACATTGTATTATATCATATATCCTGACTAATTGACTGACTGACTGACTGGCTGGCTGCCTGACTGAATAGGCCGACAGACAGATCACAGGTGACAGACTAGGAAAACCTGACAGAAGCCCAGATATTGGGACATTCAATTGAATCAAGCAAGCAAGCAAGAAAGTACTGAGTTGTCTTTATCATTCTTTCAAGCAAGACATCTGGGATAGATAGCCAGACAGACGGAGTTTTGAAAGAGTGTGACAGTGCGAGAGTGTGGGAGTGTGAGACAGAGAGAATACTTGATATTAATCTTGACCCATCGTCGAATGGAATCTAACTACTACTACCACCGCCACGACCTCCTATATATATGTACATACATACTCCTGTCCCTTCCATCTCTCCCTCCCCTCTGCTTTTGATCCATCGCCGCCTGTCGATCTCTCTCTCCCCCTCCCAGACAAGTGAATCTGAACATGGTATTATACTTCCATTCTGGATAGTGGATACATGTACTCGGTACGGATATCCTGAATGGCTGACTCTATCTCTATTCTATATCTCAATCTCGACCTCAACCTCAATCAACGCGGGAGGAGAGGTTCCTCCGCCCGCCTTCCATCTACGCCATACTATCTTACAACAAGACAGATCAAGCCTTGACAATCTCCTCGCTGCGCACCTCGTTGCCCTTCTCGGCGTAGATCTCCTCGGCATCGTCGCGGCTAGTGCTTTCGCCCGAGGCGATGACATTGGCAGCGCCCTGGTAGCCCTTCTCGTGCACGATGCCGCCCTCGGTCTCCCGGAGAGCCTGTTCCTCGATCTTGCGCTTCTCCTCATCCGAGGCGTCGTACCATTGCGTGGCCACGTGCATGTCGTCGCCAAAGACGTGGCCGATCTCCTCGAGCGTGCGGCCCTTGGTCTCGGGGAAGAAGAGGTAGATGATCACAATGTACTGGAAAGGGTGAGAGCGTCAGTATGAATTTCAGGGCTCAGAGATTGTGGGGGAGGCGTCAAAAGGAAGAGGGTGGTCGTGACAGTCAGGCCAAGAGTCAGGGTTATGGCGAACTTACCACTGAGGATGGAATAATCAAGACTAGATAGAACTTCCAGCCAATCTTGTTCAGCGCAACCGGAGCAGCCACAAGGGTGACTTCGCTGGCAAGGTAAAAGGCCGACAACCCCAGCGCGACACCGGCAGGACGCAGATGGTTGGGGAAGATCTCGGCCACGTAGACGTACTGGGTGGCATCGATGAAGAAGCACCACCAGATGATGTAGAACCAGATGAAGAAGACGCCGGCACGCAGGCCAGCCTCGTTGGTTGTGTTAAGGAACGAGGCTGTCAGAGCGGCGAGGAAAATGACCGAGACGACACAGCCAACAGAGCCGATGAGCATGAAGTTACGCCGGCCGAAGCGGTCAATGTACAGTGCCGTCCATGTGTTGCCGATCAGAGTGAAGGTTGTCCAGCATGCGTTGAGCAGCAGCGGAATTGACCCGCTCAACCCGAGACTTGCATAGATCAACACGCCCTATATCAACCGTCAGCGACCAAATGTTTTACAGAAGAGACAGCGACTGACATAGTTGGTCATCACAAAAATACCCAAAAATTGATTGCCCCACATGAGAACAGCGGCCATCAGGGCGCGTTTCCTGTTCGACGGGGTGCTGAAGAGCTCGAACCGGCCCCGGGCCATGGTGGCGTCCATGTCGTACTGTTGCTCCATGAGCCAGAATTCACGCCGAGCCTTGATATCTTCAGGGTCGTTGGGGGTCCTGTGAAGTCGCTTGACCACGTCCAGGGCTTCTTGGCGACGGTTTTGCGAGAGGAGCCAACGGGGGCTGTAGGGGACAAGATTGCTGCCGGCCAGCAAGATCAAGGGGAAGACGACTTGGAAAGCGAGCGGGAATCGCCAGGCGAATTGGGCAGCAGGATCCGTGGCCGACATGTGGAAACAGGCGTAGCCGAGCCACCCTGCGAGAGCATAGCCGACTGCGTACATGATACCAGTGACGCAGACCATAGCGCCTCGAGTCTCTGTGGGTTGCATCGTCAGAAACAGCAGGGAAGATGGGGGCAGGAAGAACAGGTTACTTACCTGGCGTGGAGACCTCTGCCTGGTAGATGGGGACAACGCAGGCTAGAATCCCTGAACCCATACCAGCAACAAAACGCCCGACAAGAAACATTGCCATGTCGACAGCGCCAGCACACAGGGCACCACCGACGATGAGAATGACGGAACCGAACTGCATCGTGCGCTTCCTGCCGTATTTGTCCGAAGTCCAAGCTTGTGAGATACATCCAGCGATTGCACCGGCCGAGTTGACGCCGTTCAAGGCACCGATCATGTTGGTTGTGTGGTCATAGCCAGGCTCGCCCGCCGTGGCCAGATTGAAGTAGGAATAGAAGTTGGGCTGGCCGACGGTCGAGCCAATGATGGCGAGGCCATAGGCTGTGGAAATGGTGCCCAGGGCCACAAACACCACGACCCAAAGGTTGTAATTGTTGACGATGATTTTGTTCAACATCTTGACGAGTGACCAAGGCAAGAGGCTTGATTGGGAGAAGGGAGAAAAAAGAGGAAAAGCGAGACAAGCAACAAGCGAAGCATTAGGAGATAAGTACCCTGCCTTTGTATGTGTGTTATTATTCGGTTTCTCACCGGATCCGAAAATGTTGATCCATCCACCAAAGGGCTGACACGATTACCACGATCTCCAACTGTAGACCGAGGATAAGAGGGAAATGACCGCACGAATAGGCGCTGGTGGCGCCAATCACCTCGTCGTCCTCTGTGTCCCTGACTCAGATAAAAGGGAATCATAATCCGGAGGTGAAGTGCGTGGGTACCCAGGCTCCAGAGCAGAAGCCCCATGGAGAAGAGAAGTGGATAACAAAATCCACGCTATGCGGGGAATGCTGTGAGACTATGGGTCTAGGGCGAGGTGCAGTTGCGTGAGGTCGTACATGCAAAGGTATTGGGCCCAACCTTTGAAGAGCGCATGGTAAGGAACCACGGATCGGCGGTGATAACAACAATCCTTTGCCGCAGCCTTCTCAGAGGTATACCGGAGAGAACCACAGCCGCATCCGAGATATAACCAAGATTTACGCACGGCGTCCTTGGCCAAAAAGGTTCGCCAGGATGCGGCCTTAGCAGCCACGCTGCTAAGCTCGGTATTGGCAAACTCTTGTTCGGAAACCAAGCCCCGTCTGACGGTTGGTAATGTGTAATCATGTGGCCAGCAGAAAAAAAACTTAAGAGGATGAGGACCGAGGTTGAGCCTTCGATGACGAGTTAGCGGAGGTTGTTGGTGAGAGAACAGCAGTCGAGATACCAAGGATGAGGAGCAGTCGAGCAAGACCCCATTGTGGGCACGGTGACACGTTTCTCTCGATTTTTCTTCTCAACTGGCATCTTCGGCGTACTCGAGCAGACGGTAGACACGGGAATGCTGGGAGATGGAGCATAAAAGAGGGCGGGTTCCGGATGAAGTGAGCGATGGGATGAGGATGAAACAAGTTGAGGTTGAATAATTTTCCAACCCCAAATCTGCTTCTCCACAAAGAATAACGAGCCTCGCCTCGTCTGCGCCTGCGCCTGCACCTGCACCTGCGTCTGTGTCTCCATCTCCCATCTCCACCACCCCGGCCAAAATTTCCCCCAATGCCCCGACTTATCCAGGGCCTCCCCACAGGGCGTCCCATGCTCCTGGACACCTCCAACAAACCGCTTCCGCACCTCTTCGGCTTACCGAGTAGAACATCCTGCCGCGAATCGCCATTCTTGCCGACGGACTTTGCGGGGCCGGATATTGCAAAAGTCGCATGGCGATGGATGTTATGAGTTGAAGTGTATGTATGTTCAGAAATTATGAACGAACCCCCCCCTTCTATCATATGA